TTACAAACTACTACTACTTTTATCTCACCACTACTAAATTGGCATCAACGCATTGTTACCAAGTGGGCTATACGGCATCCGTTTTTCTAGCGTTTCGAACAAACTTTCTACAACTTCGGTGTGATTTTGGATACTATTGCGCGTGTTTATACTTGGCCAAATCTTTAACGTACTTTGACCAATTTAAAAACATTCGTAATTTAAGTATGAAAGTGAACTGTTTGCTCCTAAATACAACGGATCATATACAGGTGCTGCGCAAAGAAAGAGAGAAAAAGTATATTTTCTTTTGATACGCGTTTATTTATCTATGATAGAGTATATATGCTGTTTCTTTTCACTCATTTTGTTCGACTGTGTCTATTGATAACAACATCAAAATATGACTATTACGATTATACTAATAGGAGCTTTAATTAGCCTTGTCTTTTACTATTTGTGGACATTAAAATCAAATTATGATTATTTTAAGCGAAGAAATATTCCTGGTCCACCACCTAAACTCTTCTTTGGCCATTATTTAAGTATATGGAGTACACTCTCTTTTAATCGTCAAATTCCAGAATGGACTCGTAAATATGGTTCTCTCTATGGAATTTTTCAAGGAACACGTCCCATATATGTTGCATCAGACGTTGATTTCTTACAGGAAGTATTTATCAAACAATTTTCACTGTTTCATTCACGTCCTATGAACTTTCTTGTTCGAATGCTGAAAAGTAATGCACCTGGTTTAGCTTCTGCACATGGAAATCAATGGCGACGTCAACGTCATGTCATTAATCCAACATTTACGACAGTCAAATTGAAAATGATGACACCACTTATGAATAAATGTATTAGATCATTGATGAACAAAATCGATGAAAAAATTGATAATGAATTCAATATTTTTACATTATACAAACGATTGACTATGGACGTTATGTGTTAGTAAACAGTTATCATTTGTATCCTCATTTATTTTTAGGATTCTTTTATTTCAAATAATACGTACTTAAAATTCTACAAGTATCTTTCAATAAATTACACCGTTAAATTTGCTTTTAATAAAGTTATTGGACCTATTGTTCCTGAAAAATTTTCATCTGCAGAAGGCTTAGGTACAGAAATCGAGTTGTTTATATAAAAGTTGATAAGATGACCCTACTTTCTTTCATATTCAATCTTCTATTCGATCATTAGAAAAAAATGTGTATCAATTGTAGGGCATTGTGCATTTGGTATTGATACTGACCTACAAAATGACATTGATAACATGTATATGAAAAAATCATTAGCCAGTTTTGTTGGCGATCCGGAAAAAATGTTCATGGTGAGGTTAGCTAATTTAATGCCATGGCTTATTCCAGTGTTAATTAAAATTATGAATAGTCTTATTGCATTAATAAACCTTCTACACAAATTGATGCCTTCAATAATGGTTAATGTTGAAGGTCCTCCACAATTATGGATTTTTAAACAAATTGATAATGTTGTTAAACAAAGACTAAGATCAGAAAATAAAAGAATAGATTTACTTCAATTAATGTTAGACTCATCTACACAAGAAGAAATTAAGGTTAGTCATCTGATTTATTTTATCGTTGAATCGTATCAATCATCTCAAATAGATTCTTTCCTAAAGAGATTTATTTTATCATTTAGGATGATGAAAATGATGAATTTATGTCAAAAAAACTTCATTATAAAGAAGTATTAATGAATGCAGTGACTTTTGTAAACGCTGGTTTTGAAACAACCTCACTTAGTCTTGCTCGTGCAACGTATCGATTAGCTAAACATCCAAATATTCAAGCAAAACTACAAGCTGAAATCGATGAGCATTGGAAAGATGAATTAGATATTGATTATGATATCATTAATGATATGAAATATTTGGATATGTTTATCCGAGAAGTTCTTCGAATAAATTCTTCTACACATAGAATTTCTAGTCGAGAGTGTTCTCAATCAACAATTGTTTGTGGTCATCATATTGAAAAAGGTGAGAAATGAGAAACAGAAAATTCCCAATTCGGGATTTTTCTGTAGTGCAATTCAGAAAAAGCCAAAACTTGTATTTTGATTGACCTTTTCCCATTGGTAAAACTTAACAAGTTCCAAAAGTATAGTTTTGTTAAGGCTTAACGCGTTCTCGTTGTAGGATAACTGTTGATAATGATCGGTAATCTAATACAAAAATCAGTAGGGTGAAATGGAAAGTATCCCGAGATATATTTATTTTATTTTGACATAATTTGATATAATTTTTTTCTAATAGAATTTTCATTGAATAGGTAGTATAATTCAAGCAGACAGATATACGATCCATCGTAATATTGATTTGTGGGGACCTGAAGACCCAAATGAATTTATTCCCGAACGTCATCTTGTCAAACGACATCCACTGGCTTTTATGCCCTTTGGTATTGGACCAAGAAACTGTGTTGGAATGAGATTTGCATTAATGGAATTAAAAATGGCCTTGGCTAATATCTTACATAAATATACAATTCTACCTGGAAATGAACTTGAAGAAGGAATGAAAATACAAGAAAATATAACTCTTTCACCAGAAGCTATTAACATACGAATTAGAAAACGATGAAAAGTGTCAAAAATTTTGTTTATTTTCTTAAGTATCTAATATTATTCCGTCGATTATGTATTTCTTTTATACATATGTTTGAATATTAATTCAGCACAACATGTATAGTTTTGCTCATTAATTTGTTAAAATGAAGCTTAAGGGTAAATAATAAGGTGTTCTTTCTTTTTAATGAATTTCATTTTTTAATGTTTGGTCGTCTAATTACTTGAATAAAAATCATTTATACAATTTACCAATCGAATAAAGTGACAAAATGTTCTTATTACATTGTAAATTACATAGGTAGAGAATGGTGGGGTGTGGGTGTGCGTGTGTGTGGGTGTGGGTGTGGGTGTGGGTGTGGGTGTGGGTGTGGGTGTGGATGTGGATGTGGGTGTGGGGGGGGGGGGTGGGCGTGGGTGTGGGAGCGGCCCCGCCCGTGCGCCC